AAGATGGGAAGGAAAAGATCAGAGAGGCAAGAAGAAAAGCAGGATGGGTCCAAATGAGGAACAGAGTCAGAAGAGGGTAAGAAGCGTGAAGGATGAGGGGATGATGGTGGATGAGAAGGGCAGAAAGCAGTGTATTTAGAGAGCCAAACATCTGCATCTGGGAGAGGAGAAGGACAGTGTTTTCTCTGCCTGCTTTGATCCCATTTTGCTTGCAGCCATCCTCAGGATCTCAGCAGTTCCTCACTGAGATGACTTTGCTGCTGGATCCCTGCTGGTTTCAGCACTTTTCCCAGGGATTTTTCAGTTTCTGCTGGAAAAGGCCTGGAGACCCCTTGTGGAGAGCCAGCAGGCATTTTGCTTCGAAATGGTAAAGTGAATTTTAAAGGTGACCTGAAAATTGAATCAAAACTCTTTTTTTTTTTTCCCCTTGCTTTATGAATGCTGTAAATTATTCTTCACAGCCACCAGCAATCAGCAAACAAACCATGGTTAAATGTAGCGAAGGATTACTTAGGTTTGACATCAGCGGCAAGTGTCTAAAGCGGGGATAATGAGGTGCCGGAAAGAAATGCCAAGAGACGGTGCAGAGTCATTGTCGCTGAGGGTTTCTAAGAACAGGTTGGACAAACATCTGTCAAGAAGGGTTTAAGTTGAGCTGATTTTGCCTGGTGGCAGGTGTTGCTCTATCTACACAACCTCTCTGAGTCCCTCCAGTCTTATGCTCAGTGATAGTGCGATGCTTCTGCTTTTTTCTCATCAGAAATGTCAGGCCTGCTCTTCTGTCCCTCTGCCAGGGTCGTTGCCTCTGCAAAACAGGTTTATGAGCTTCACCTTCACTGGGGGCTGACAGAATGGTAATTTTTAAATAATTTGCTCCTACATTTTTTAATTTCCTCCTACATTTTTAATAGTTGCTACATACACAGGGGGATATATATGTATATATGTATACAAGTAGGTAAAAAGTAAGATTTGAAAAGGGAAAGAATAAAAATCATTGCCTTTCCTATTTTCTCTATTTACCTTGTATTTCTTCTGTCCCAGTTGTATCAGTCCCCCATAAAATCTTCCAGGACAGTGAATACCCAGATGTGAGACTAACCCCACCCTGAAGCATGTATCTGGCTTCATGCAACCAGTATAAGGAGAAGGTAAAAGAGGGAGTCGTAGGCGCTGATGCTGTTCGGTGTTTTTCTTTCGAAGGTGTCTGTCTTTTAAAGGCAGCTCAGGTGTCAACGGCTGTTTTACCATGTCCTCGGGCATCTAAATTCGTATTTATTTTCCCCATCTCCTCCCTGGTGCTTTGTCCCTACAGCCCAACCCAAACTATTCTATGATCTGTGGCCTTGGGGAATCACAGACTAGAGGCTTTGTAAATACCTGCAGGACTCTGTTTCATCAGCAGTGATTTTCCCAACTGCTGCCAAGCTAAAGAAGACAGGAATGTGAAAGCCAACACTCCTCGCTCCCCGGCTGCTACTTGGCTATTTTACCCTCTGCGTTTCTGAGCCAGTCCCCGAGGAAGATGGCGAGGTCCTGTGCCGGCCAGTGTAATACCTAACCCCCACTTCCAGCGGGCACAGGGCAGATCTGCTAGCTGCTGAAAGTGGGAAGCGTGAGTCCAAACACAACGACAGGCAGTGATGTTTGAAATTAGGAGCTAACCATAACCAGCTCTGGTGTTGCTGCTCATTTGCAAAGCATGGGCAAGCTGGAAAAGAAATGTCAGATGTCTGCATTGCTAGCGTGACCGAAAGAAACCAGTTTTCCCCGAGTTTTCCTACAGAAAAGAGCACTGTTAATGGCAAAGGGGTGAGGACCGAGGTTACGGCAGGGTGACATGTCTGAGGAACAGGACAATGGCAGGAGCAGGCAGCAGCCGCCCCCGGAAAACAGCCCTGCCTCTCGCACCGGGCTCCGTGCTCCCTCTTTCCACTGGCTGTCACAGGCAGGGACCCGCTGGCTTAGAAATTCTTTTCAAAGTCTGGCTCTTGCATTTCTTCAGAGAAATTCGGCACCTGGTTCAGCTCATCCATTATTCCTTCCAGCTGCTTTTTGCCATGTCAAGGCCTGAGCATTGAGCAGGCTGAATTTATCCCCTGAACACAAGCTGAGTTAAAGGGACAACTTGCCCATTTCTTTTCTTACCCGGCCATTGACTCAGCCCAACATCTGCTCTCTTATTAACCTTCTCTGGCCTCAGAGCGCTAATGATCTTTCATGACTCAAAGCATTACTAAAGCATTTAGCATTCTATCAGCAACAACAGAGTTATCTGAAGACAAGAAAACCCTCCCACTTTGGTACGCTCCTTTTGCTGTGGTGCAATTTGATGTGTGCATTAAAATCCAAAGGGACGGGAATATCCTGGATAGCTCAGCGATAAGTAGCGCAAGCATCTCTGTTGCCAGAAACAGATAATCAAAGGAGGTGAATCAAAGTGCCTTCTCCCTAAAAATCATTTTCCATGCACTCACATCAAGCCCAGTGCTTTTAGTTAACCTTCCTTGCCATGCTCTTGGGAATTGCCTCGAACACCGCAAGATTAATTGTTTTGATTTGTTCAGTTGTGTTTTTTTTACTCTTGGTCATGAATTGCTTTTTACCCACTGGTCTGACATAGCAGAGGAGCTTAATTGTAAGCAGCATTGTTACCTATGGATGCCATATGGCTCCACTATGCAATACTTACGAGGTTTGCTGCATTGTAAATACTGCAAATAAGCATGAAGCAGATGGGAGGGAAGGGGCAACAGTTTTAACAGCAAAATTCTCACTGCCTTCGCGCGGTAACAAGTCATGAAATGTGAGAAGGAATATATTAAGAAGGACAAGAGGTGTTTTGAGAGATGCAGCTGTACTGTGCATGCGGTTTTGGTCCCCTTCCCACTGCAAAGAGAAAAAGAGAGGATTTTACATTTCATTTACAAGGCATTTAGGGCTCTGCAGCTCCTGAAGGTGCTGGAAGAAAAGTGCTACAGAGAGAGAAATGTGACAGTGCAGACAAAAGGTGGTCTGAAAATGGCATATTCACTAGCATACAAATGCAGCCCTATTGAGAGCTCCCAGGTAGGAACATCTCCGGGTTCTTCACCATCTGTGAACTCCCTTTGCTGTCATCTGTGCCGCAGAATGGGGCTCTGCAGACAAACCATGTGAACTAGGAGGCCAGGAGCCAGACTATTTCAAAGGGCGGTGAAGGAATTAAGGCTCTGGCTGCACCAACACAGAGCAGGGACTTAGCTGGTTACTGGACTCCCTGAGACCAGACCCAGGTTCCCAGCTCTGTGAAAGGATAGGAAAACAAAAGCAAAGTGATTGGGACTTTTAAAGAAGCTTTCAGCTAAAGCTTTTACAGAAATGAAGCCATCAAAGGGTAAGAGAGGAAGTCCTTTCACAGCTAAATAACTGGTTAAAAGACAGGAAGCAAAGGTCTGACACAAATGATCAGTTTCTGCAACCAGGCGAGATTACAGAGGGGATATCTCAGGGTCTGGGCTGGGACCTGCCTTAGCCAGCATATTCCTAAATACTCTGAAGAAGGGATGGAGAACGGGATGATAAATTTTACAAATACACATAAGAACATAGGAAATAAAGAGAGAAGAACAGGTGCAATGGCTCAACCAAATATTCATACAGCCCACTGTCCTTTCTACCACAGTCATGCTAACCAGAAGGCGAGGGAAGACCAAGGCCAAGGCAAGCACTTCTTGCGTTCCCACAGTTCTTCTCCCAGGCCCTAGTAATTTGCAGCTCAGGGACTTCCCGAGCTGGTGGCGGCCCTCAGGAGATTTCTCTTCCACGGACTTGTCCCCTTCTCCCATTTATTCACCGTCCTAAACCTCCAGTAGTGATAATTTGTGGTTCTGAAGAGCCCCACGTGAAACTACGCAGGCATCTCCTCTCTCTTGCTTGGCGCTTGCCATTTATTAGCATCGTTTGATGCCCCCTAATGCTCACAGCAGATGGGACAGTGCAAGGCTGGTGCATCTTCTCTCCAGGCCCCTTGGCACATCCAGGGCTCTAGCACATCTCCCCTCATCCACAATTATGAAAACTGGGCAATCCTCGTCCACATTATGAAAACCAGGGGTTACAAAAGCTTAGATGGGGCAATGAAATGGAAAGGTGAATTCAGTTCCAAAAAATGCAAATTCAGGCACACGGGCAAAAATAACACTAAATGATGTGGATTTTCGTGGTTACAGGCTGTAAATTTGCTGTTACTACTCAGCTGCTGGCTGGGAACTGCTGTGGCTCGTTGTTTTGAGAGTGCCAAATTAATGCTCAGCAGCTCTCAAATGTGCTAATAACGTTAATAGGACAGAGTACCCCTCCCAAATATCCCACTGTCCCATGGCATGTTTTATCTGCCATATAAACCCAGGGACCTGCAGTTAGCAAGGGGTGGGTGTGTCTGTCTGTCTGTCTGTGTGTGTACTGGGATCCAGTCCCATTTAGCACCTTCATTAACGATCGGAATGCTTGCCACTCAGGGACCCTGGGCAGGCTGGAGAGATGATGGGCTGACAGGATCCTCATGGAGCTCTACCACGGGAAAAAGCGAAGTCCTGCAGCAGGATGAACCCAAAGCACCAGGAGGGGCTGAGAAGGCCGCGGGGTCCTGCTGAGCACCAGGGTGAGGGTGACCAGCGACGCTGCTCATCCCTCCCCAGGCTGCCTGGGAGGGGGAGCATGGCCGCCGAGGGAGACCGCGGCGCTGGGCCCAGCCGCAGCGGCACAGACTGCCCGGGAAGATGCTGGAGATCTCTCCAGGGACATCTGGGACCCGTCCCGGGACAGCGGCTGAGGCAGGGTAAGGCCGGGCAGCCCCCGAGGCCCGGCCGGGTCGCTGAGGGGAGCGGGGACGGTTGGGCTGAGGCGAAGGCCGCCCGCCATGGCTCCCCGCCCCTCCAGCAGGCGGCGCCCTTCGGCTCCACGCAGCGCATGCGCGGAGGTGACTAGGGGGGGCCGCACCGCCTCTCCCCGCCCGGAAGTGTCCGGGTCCTCTCCGCGGCGGCCGCCCGCCCGCCATGTTTACGGAGCTGAACGAGCTGCTGGACGCTTCCCCGCAGCGGCCGGAGACGGTAAGAGGGAGGACGGGCGGACGGGAGGGTCAGGCGGGAGGGAGCGGGGCCGCTGTGGCGGTGCCTGCCGGGAATTGTAGTCCGGGCAGCGCTGGCCGCCGGGAGCCGCGCGGTGCATGCTGGGAGGGGCGGGGCCTCGTCAGGCGGCGGAGGCGGGAGGGCGGGATGGCGGCGGCCTCGGCCTCGGCCTCTCCGGCAGAGGTGAACGGCCTCCGGGCCCTTCCCTTCGCTCGGCCCTGGTTCCCCGCAGCCCCTCACGGCTCAGGCTTCGGTATCGGAGGGGCCGGGCCCTGTCCCCGCCGCCTTCGGCGTGTCTGTGCGTTGGTGGTTGCCGTGTCGTGGATAACGGCAAAACTGGGGGTCCGACCCGCCACCCAGCGCTCGTTCCGGGCCCTCTGGTGTGTTTTAGAGGTTTCTCTTCCGTTAGGCCACTAAATTGATTCAGTTAATCCCTGCAGTTTTTGTGCTGATGAAGTCACGCTGTAACTAAGTGCCCTCGCCCTGTATAAAAGCCGCAAAGCGCTTCAGGTAAAAAGTTAATAAAATACGCACGTGTTACACATTACTCTGTGTCTTTCCTGGTAGATAGTAACTTAGGTAATAAAAGCAGGTTTGGGGTGATAATTTATTTTGTAAGTCTTGAATTTCCCCTCTTTCCTCGTAGAGCTTATGATGTGAGCAGGGCAGCTTTCTCCCTGGACTGGAAAATGCCAGTGAGGTAATTCCTTGTCAGCCTGCCTGGAGCGGGACAGGGCTGGTCTGCTGGGGAAAAAATGCCGGGGAAGAGCTGGGAGAGTGCTGCTCGATAGAGGTCAGGCCCTCGAGGCTCAAAGCAAACCTGGTAGAGGTTGTTGGCTAAGGTTCGGTGGTAGCAGTGTCATTCTCCGTAAAGGATAGACTGATGCTGTGTAAATTCCCAAGTCCCTGTGGTTCCTGTGGGTTGATGACTGGGTTTTTAATGTACCTGGAATGCTAAGCGAGGAGCCCTTGGTGGAACTGGACTGTTGGCACAGTGGAGCCTGTTCTGAGGCAGGTTTTGATGGTGGAGCCATGGGATAAGTGGGGATGCTGTCACCTGCAAGCCCAGTTTTGGAGGCAGGGGGCTCACCTTCATGTGAATAGGAAATTCTGCAGAGCAAAACCAAAAGGAGATTTGGCCTGAAGATCCTGACTTTTGATTTGGCAGCCCAGGCAGGACACGACAGAGAAGCTGAACAAAAGGCTCCTTTATGTGAGGAATTGCCTCAGATTTCTGTTGGCTCTTCCTCTCCCATCAGCCAGGGACTTGGACTTCCCATCGCACGCTCCAGATTCCTCCTCGAGGTGTCTGGCAGTAGTGTAGCACCAGTATATGGCTGGCTGCAGAACGAGTGGTGTTCCCTGATGCCAGAGTTGGAAGATGGAGTTTATACACTGTGATATGGACTAAGCTGGTGGTAAATCATGAGTATTCTTGTTTTGTGAGTCCCCCTCTGTGCCGCTCATTGTCTCTGATTACTGTGCAGAGCCATGCAGTCTGGGTATGGGCTCTCCCTCCTGCGAGACACAGTCCGTGGGGTGTGCTGAGATATCTGGCCAAGGCTGGCTAGAAATTGGTGTCCTGCTGTGCTTAAAAAAGCATCAGCCCTTTGCAGATCTCTTCTTCCCATCTCTGCCATCCTGATTTTTGTGTCTCCATGGTTGGTTTGTGCCATTTTCAAAATGCTGACAAATGCCTTCACTGTAGGGCTGGTAGGTGGATGAAGCTGCCGCCTGTGTAGGTGTATCTGACATGTCACCGCTGAATGCTTGTGACACCCGCTGCTGCCCTGCCAAGGGATTTTGGCAGTTTCTAACAAGTAGCTGCAGCTTCTGCCTTGTAGCCTGCAGGTGGAAAGAGTGGAAAAAAAAAAAGGCAGAGTGTGGGGCAGACAGATAGAGAAGGTGTTACAAGAAGGCCTTCTCTTTGGAAGTGCTTCATCCCCAGCAGCATCTTTCTGGGCTTGAGAAGGATGTGCAGAAGAGGGAAGAGAATCAGACCGCACGTCTGTGGTGGCAAATTGGGGGCTGTGGGGTTTCTGCATGCCAGCAAACATGGTCCTGGTGGTGCGGCCAGGACTTACCTGCTTCTCAGCAGGAGAATTCCTCTTGCCTGGCAGCAAGGGGAAGCTGCCCGTGCTCAGGACCTCCAGGGACCTGGTTTCTTGCGGCCGCTGCTAAACAGTTTGATATACATAGTCTGTGGGGATGTGTGCAAGAGGTGCATGGACTCACATGATGGCAGCATGACCACAGGGGTTTTCAGACCTTGGAAATCCTTGCAGATTCCTGCTGGTTTTGCATGCCTTCCTCCTTGTGTCAACACGACTGGTAGAACCCCAATTCCTGTACTTGTGTCCTGTGCTCTGGAGCTGATAAAGGCTTTGGGGCAGTTCTGTGACCACAAGCAGGGTGCTGGACTTTCCCGGAGCTGTTGCCTTCCTTCCTTCCCCCAGCTGTGCTTTGGTGCAGCTGCTGGCTCTGGAGATGCACCGTTTGGACATTTCCACCCCTGGCTAGCTGGGCATCCAAGCGTCAGATGTGAAGAGTTTTGAGTGCTATCTAAGCAGCTGCAGTGTGACAGCAAATCGAGGGTTGGCAGGATTTAAGGGTTGATAACTGGAAGGTTTGAAAAAGCGAAATAATGTATGCTCTGAATGATAGCATCCTGCCGTGTTCTGCACAGCGTATGTGGGAGCAAAGGAGGGAGCCTTTTGAGAGCTAACAGGCAAAGGAAGGGACTCGGGGTGGCATTCAGCCTGCTGTTGCAGGGAAGAGGGGAGTTGCAGGGGATGGAGTCGTGCAGAAGATAAACCGCTGAACGTTTGAACTTGGGCTGTTTGAACCTAGAGAGTCTTCCAGGCTTAGCCATGGAGGATACGTCTTAGTGAGATGCTCATGGAAGTGGTGTCTCCTGTTATTGTAATGGCCACAGAGGCATAAACCTTTTTTTGGGTGGGAAAGAGCTCTCTCACTGGCTAAGGCAGAGCAGTGCTTCTCTACCCTGGTTTCTGCTTTGCATTCCCTGCAGATGTGTTCAATATTTGCTATTCCATTAGCACCGCTTTGTAACTTTGTCTTTTAGGCACTGGGGAGTTAACTCTGATAGATGGCTTGTGAATTGCTTATGGGTAGATTGCTTGTTGCTGCAAAAGGCTTTTTGTTTTCTTCTAATAGATTGAGGAAAAAAAAAGGCATTGATAAGTTCTCTGTGATTAAAAGCAGCTCTTCTATGATTTGTATTGATTAAAGAAACATCTTGACTAAGATTTTAATGGAAACAAATGCCTTGATGAGACTGGTACTGATAACAAGCATGCACTGATGAACGGAATTAATTTCCTGCGTGATCAAAACAAGGTGTATACTTTGTCAGAGAGCTTTGCTCCAGTACACATATTTTGATGATAAGGTTTTCTGCTCTGAACATGGCATGTTTGAGGTAAGCCTGGAACAGGGGACAGGGAGGGATGTCTGGGGACAGTAGAAGCAGCAGCTGTAGCAGGGCTGCCATTTTAAGCGCACAGGCGGTGCTGGCTGTGGCAATGGGAGAATGGACTGGGAACAGAGTGGGTGGCTGTTGTCCCCCTGCCATCTGGGCCACTTGGAGTAGGAAGAAAATGACTGTGAATTGGAGGAGAGGGGGACAAAGCCGGGAGATGGAAATTGCTCACAGCCACCCGTGTCGATGGTGTCCAGCACCAGGGGCATGAATATGTCTGTGCTCTGGATGTGCCAGCACTGGAAAGTGCAGTGCTGCTCATTGGTGTCCTCTGCAGCGGCCAGGTGTTTTTGCATGTGAGGAGGTGGCTCTTGGTGGGCACAGAGCTTGGGAGTCCAGCTGGGGTCTCAGTCTAACGCAAGGGCTTTTAGCTGGTGGGCATGTCTTTCAGAAAGCAGTGAACTCAACATCTTCTGATGCCTCCCTGTGGGCTGTGTCTGGAGGAAGCGCTGGCATCTCTTTGTAAACGGACGGATGGCTGGAGCGCTGCTTGTCCACTTCTTTCTCTGACTAATACCTGCAGAGTTTCCCCTAGCCTGAGCAGATGTCTTGTCTACCAAGATGGAACCAGGAGCAGTTTGTGCCCTCATCTTCCTCTGTTAAATTATTTTGCTACTTCTTTTTCAGGGTAAATTCACACTGCTGCGAGACACCAGAACAGATGGCAGCTTCCTGGTGCACCATTTCCTCTCCTTCTACCTCAGAGGTATGTCACCAGCAGGACTCTCCAAGGCAAGGGTTTGCTTTTGCCTGCTCCTTGGAGGTTCCTTCAGCATAAAGTGTTTCTGCGTGAGCAGAAGCTGGTTTTGCAGAGCATGAGGCATCCTTGGATTAGCGCAAAGCCTTGAGGTCAGGATTTGTGGATCCCAGTCTGGGCTTGTTCTTGGGACTTGCTCTGTATCCTTGGGTACATCCTGTAATGTCTGTGCACTTTGTTTCGTCATTAGTGCAGTGAACGTTGTAAATCACATGGACATCTGACAGTGAGGTGTGGACTCTAATTCCTTCACTAGCTAGGTGTTTTATAATGTAATTAAAAATATCAGGATCAACTGGCTGGTAGGGAGTAAAGAAACAAACAAAGAGCCTGGCAAGTTGCCTGATTGCTTTTCTGGTAACAGTTTCACCTGTGAGTAACCTACCAGCCCCTGTAGAGCGGGTGCTGGACTCACGGACTCCTCCAGCTTTCTGTTAGCAAAGCAACCAGCCCAGCAAATCTGGTATCTATCAGACTTGAAACTTAGCTCGGAGTGCTGTGCAGGTGGTGGGGCTGAATGCATCCTGCCCCCCATAAGTGCCACTTCCTCAGCTATGGGTTTACCCCATTTTAAAAAAATTGTTTTACTTAATGGAACAGAGTGAAACTGCAGGAAAGCCTGTGGAGAGCAGGTTATTAACAGTGTGAATGGTTTAAAGGGACAGCTCTGCCGAGGCACTGCCTCAGGGTCTGCCTGCATCCCTGCACGGCTCTGCCAACATGCTGATCTGCCGCACTGTCCTGGGAGTTGTTGCGGGGAGCTGCCCGCCTGCCTGGGAGAAGCCTCCTTGTGGGTAGGCAGCCCTTTGGGATTATTAATTTATCTCAAGGCAGGTATGCTTGCTGTCACCTGCTCATTTCCACCCCAGGACCTGGTTGCCAGTTACTCTGTGTCTGTAGCACCCCCATGTTGGCCAAGTACCTGCTTGGTGCCCAGAACTTCTGGTAGCTCCTGAGGGGTTAGTGAAGGCTCAACTGGGGCCACTGGCTTGTTCCACTTGAAATCCATGTCCTGCTCTCTGGCAGGGAGAAACAAATACTGATTTTGTTCATGCCCAAACCATAAGGCCACGTTGTCACGTGCTGGCTTTTCCAAACTTTGTCAAAATTGCTTGTTCTATGTGTTTCTCCAGTCAAGGTCACTTGCCCTATGAGACCCAAAACAGGGATTTTTGGCATGTCAGTGGTTTCAGGAGTTTGTGTCACGGCTGGCCATTGGCCTCCTTGCAGTAATACCAGCAAACAGTGCCAGGAGATCCCAGGGCAGGATGGCATGAGACAGAAAAGGGGCCTCCTACTTTTTTAATGTCATCTTTTTCTTGTTCTTTCCCTTTCTTTTTAAACTGACTAACGTTTTCCCTAATACAGAAATCCTATAGAAAGGTGAAAATTGAAAACCCAGCCATGAGCAAGTGAGGGGCTGCCTAGACCTGCGTCAGTTCAAGGCCTTTCCAGACAGATTTGTAGCCTGGCTGCTGTGATTTATGTGCTTCGATAATGGCAGCTTGCAAAATTGAAATGATAATGTGTCTTTTTGTCTTCTCACCCAGCTGGCTGTAAGGTTTGCTTTGTGGCCCTGCTCCAGTCCTTCAGTCACTACAACATCGTAGCACAAAAGCTGGTAAGTCTCTTGGTGTAGGTTAATAATTACAGGTCCAGGTAGTTTCTGTTGGGTGGAAAGGAATGAGAATGGGGAACAGGAATTGCATGTGAGCAAATGTTTCCAGATCTTGATGGGGACGGTCAGGAGTGGTGCGCCTGCGGCAGGGGCTGGAGAACACTTCTTGCTGGAGAAGGAATGTGATATAGGTCAAAAACCTGGCTACGAGGGTCACTGCAAGGGCCCCATCAGGCTCTGCCCTGGAGAGGGCAGAGTGCTGAATGGCTGCTTGCTTTCTTTGTGCTTAGAAATGTTTCTGGAGATCAGCATTCCCCAGACTGGCCCAGACTGGCAGATGTAGTTTCATTAGTGCTCTGGGGAGAAAAATACCGTGGTGTCCGTGTCCCTAGGGCCTCTCTGTACGCCTGCAAGATGCACTGGCTGTATGGCACAGGAGCTCCTGAGGTGACTTTGTCCTATGGTTATGTTGTGGTGAAGTGCTTTGGGCTGAATCGCCTGTAGATTCAGAAGGACACCTGTCTGCCTCTTTTGGCCTCTGGGCTAAGCCATCAGTTTGAGCTGTCTGAGGAGCCACAAGCACGGAGTATGTTCTTACAGATTTCCTTCCCGTGGTGAGTCAGGCAAGGATTATGTGTACCCTGAAACAGAGAAACAAAGTAGGCAGGGTCATTCCCAGTGTCAGCAAATCAGTCTGAGCTTTGGCTTTAAACTGCATCTCTCAGCTTTTTGTACAAGGCTCAGATGTGAAATGCTCCAGCTGGGAAGTCCAGGTGACCTTCCAGGGCCGAAGGGATGACAGCTTGCATTGGTCCTCCCTCCTCTGGTTCTGCTGGAAATCCCAGCAGTGTGGCTGCTTATAAAGACTTTCAGGTGTTGAAGAACAAGGTGTTGCATTAACGTTGTATTCCCCACTGTAAATGTGGGTTGAGTTTTGATGCTTGTTGAGCAACAGGATTTTTACTACTCCGTTTTTACCTTTTAAAAGGAGATCAATGGTCTGAAAGCTGAGACATAAGTTAAATAAAATGGAATGAGCAAATGAAGCATTTCCATGTGGAGCTTTAACTCACAGGCTGATACTCAACGTGCAATTCCCCAGCGGAGCAGATTCCCTACTGCTGAGCAAACCAGCCTCTGTGAGCACGGAATAGTTCTGGCCTTCATGTTGCAGAGAGGAGGAAATCTTGGGGGGAGCTTGCTAAGTGGGACAGGAAATGTCCCACAGGCATTATGCTATGCACAGGGCATAGCAACTGGTGTAGGTAGGAGGTTCAGCTGTTAAATATGGGATCCTTGCCTGCTCTAAAAGCAGAATTGTGTTTGTTGGTGTGTTGCCTAATGTGGTGAAATTTCCTGGCGCATAGCTTGTGCGTGTGCTTTTAATAGGTGCTGTTGTCATCTCCCTCGTGGGAGAGCCTGAGAAGGGAGAGAACATGAGGATTAGCTGGAGCACACGTGCAATGCAAATCAAAATGATTTGCTGTCTGATGCTTCAACAAAAAGGTTACTGATGGGAAGGGAGGTGATAAGAAGAACAATACAGTTTGCCCAGGGGAGTTCAGAGAAGCGATTACATTTGCCCGCCCGCAGCCGTGAGCTGTCCCTGTCCTGTTGGTTTCAAGTCTGAGGCAGTCTTGCGTTGTAACTTCACAGGTGCCTGTGTGGTCGGTTGTTGTGAATTCTTCCAAAGCTCTGAGGAGCTGGAGGTTGTAACATCAGTTATTTATATCTGTCTGAGTTTCCATAAGATCTTGTCTTTGCTTTAATCCTTCTTTGCCTAAATGAACACATCAGGCTCAGTAAAGGTGGTTTTTGGCAGGGCGCTTTCACTCTTAGACTTGCTTAGGAATTTGCTGCTGTAGATCTCTATTGGAGACCAGCTGGGATGTCATTTACGTGGCTGCAGCAACCCCCGATTTCAGGCAGTACCCTGAGCTGTGTCGTGCTGCAGTCGGGTGAGCTGCACGCTTCAAGTGACCGGCTGCTCCCTTCCCATCTCTTCTTCCTCAGTGGCAAGCTCAAGACCAGCTGCCTGGCTCTCTGTGCTGGCTGGGAGAGCTGCAGGGGGTCAGGCTGTAGTTCTTCTGGGAACTGCTTGGAAGAATCTGGCCCGTGGGTGGCCACCTGCATTATGTTATCCCACCCACAGGTTAAATCTCCCATGCATGATCATTCCTAGCAGAAGATGATGCATTTACAAAAGACTGCAGTTGCAAGAGCTTCATAACTTAGTGATGCTCCTGTTTCTGCTGGGAATGGGCTGGTCCCAGGCCTGGGAGGAAGGGTCCTGGAGCCAGGGTTGTATTACACAGTCTTTACAGCGATGTTTTGTGGATCTGGTCCTTGTAGCACTTGATGTATGGTAATATACTGAATATTTATACACAGCTGAAGTAATGCTTACCTTAATGTGCTGCTTCCCCACAGTGTTGCCAGGTCTTACCAATCCAGAACCAGTTCCTTCTGTGTTAGCTAAATGCAGTGATGTATTTTACTTGCAGGAAAAAGCTTCTCTGGATTTTTGTGCCTGTGCTGCAATACTGGCTTTACGCTTTTCCTTTTCTGCAAATCCCACTCTTTTCATGAGGGTCTGCACTTAATTTTAAGGGATAGTTAATGTTATTTGTCACGACATTGTAGAGAACATGCTAGGCTGCGGCAAGACTAATGGCACCAGGGCAGCTTGCCAGATTGGTGCTCCCACCCTCATTTGTACAATGTTTGTTTTGTTTTAAAGGAAAAACGTATTTGTCCCCATTTGGTCTCTCTCTTGCCTCCTCCCCTGTCCCCTGCCACAGTGCTGAGATCACAGACGACAGGACATCGCCTGGTCACCTCTGCTTTCCCCTGCCAGTAGTTGTACTAGAGAAGAGACCTTGGCTGGTTGCCTGATCACAGATCGTCGCACTTTGTACCACGGCTGTGTTTGCTGTTTGAGCTAATGACTGCTGCCTCGCATGCTCCATTACTAGTTCTCTCCTGCAAATATTTTGCTTTCCCTTATGACATGGCCAGTGGCAAGCGGCGGTTCTGGTTTGAAGGGACGTCACTGCTGGCAGGCCGGTGGGCTGCCACGCTGCCTGGCTGGCAGCATCCCGAATGAACAAGAACAATTGTGCTCCGTTGTGGAGCTCGCAGCTCCAGTCACGCTGAGTTGCTGTTTCAGAAGCATTTCTGGGCTTGATCAATAAATGACAGATTGCCAGAGATAATGTCTGTGTGCTCCCAGTGATAATGGAGCGTGGTGCTGTGAGATAATGAAAGCTTTCAGGGCTGGTAATGCACGCTGTTTGGGTGCTCTGCAACACTGTGGCTCTGCAGCAGGGACGTGTAGTGTCTGTGGCAGTCAGGAAGGTGCCGTTGGCCATTTTGAGCACTTCTTCCACTGTCTGAGCTGTCCTGATCCTTCCTGTGTTGCTTCCAGAGGTTACATCAGGCAGGCTGCTAGGTGGGAGACGAGCAGAGGTTTGCTGTGGCAGATGACTGTAGTGGGGCGAGTCCAGGTCTCCATCCAATGCTGTCTCTCTGGGACCTGGTTCCCCAGTTGGAAAATGAGACTGGACTTGCTGGGTCCACCCAGGAATGTCATGGCCCCGAGGAGATCGAATTCCTGGTCTGACCCACAAGCACACTGCCCCTGGCAGCCTTCCTCTCATGCTGTGGCCCTTCTCTCTGTCGTCCAGGCAGGCCCTGGTGTAACAGCACTAAGCTGCTGGTTATTTTAAAGAGGGGACACTCTTTT